TTCCCCCTGGAGGAAGATTTGGTGGTTCCCGACTCATTGAAGGAAGCACAACTCTCGTTAAGATTGAACATTTCCACCATACGTGATTTCATCCATCAGGTCGAAAGTATGTATAACCGTTATTGCTTTTGTACGTGAAATACCCCATGAAATTCTAAAAGGGAAATGTTCCTTTTTCTACAGAACTGAAAATCCTGCGAGATCAAAAGTTAGGCCTATCCACCGAAGTTCAATTGAAGATGTCTCGAAAGTCGGAGCACGGGTTAGCGGATTCGGAATTTAGGAGGTATAGCGAACTCGAGAAAAAATTTGGACTGGATTGGGAGAAAGTCGACGTGATAATCGACCTCTCTGACGTAGCACATGATAAGCAACCCACACTTGATGGTGACAAGAGCATGAACGTCGACATCGAGCGCGCATCCTCCGAGCGACACATGCAAGTATTGAAGATCATGATGGAGACGGATCTAATCTCTATGGACGACGACGACGAAGATAATTGTGGATTTTACCGTAGGTTCCATTACAAAAAGCACAAGAATTACAGCGATCACGGTCGCAACACGAAAAAACAAAAATTAACGAATGCAGATAGCGCGAACATCAGCGGCAACCTTATAAAAAAGAAGAAGAAGAAGGAGAATTTCAGAATCGATGTTGAGATGATGCCATATCTAGTCGAACACGTGAAGAGGTTGCAAAATAGGCTGTCTGGACATGTAAATGATCTTGAGAATTTGACCACATTAATTACTTTATCTGGCGGATGAGAAGGCTTCGTTTGTGTTTTTTTACGAAATAAAAATGTAAAAATTTAATACTACCTAATTTAGATTTGGGCAGAATAAAAAAAGGACGTTTGTATAAACTATTCCCCTTTACATATTCCTTAATAATGTCATATATATATATATATGACTTCGTCTTTTCTTCACAAAGTGATCGATGAGGTGTAATATCGATGGATTCTTTCTTTTTTTTTCTTGTAAATTTTCTACTCTCTTTTCTGTTTGTATATTCTTTTTTTTTTCCTTTTCTTTTTGTGGGTTCTTCTGGGATATAGTTTTAGTGGAAATAATGTACTTCCCTTAAAAATTCCCATGGTACAATTACCAAAATACCAGACGGACGATATTCGTAGAAAAAAATACCTTTGAACATTTTTTTGTAATACGTTTGTATATATTTATATAGTATACATATATGTTTCTCTATTCTTTTTTTTTTTTTTTTTTTTTACGCGTTACCATAATTTCAACGCGTTTCTTCTCAACCATTATCACTGTATGCCCCAGTGCTCACATTCCTCTTTCTTCTTCAAAAAAACCAACCCCAAATCGTCTGCTCAACCAATCACTTTATCCATTCATCCCAAAGATCACACATCCAGATTTTTTTTGTATCATTATTTGATTAGTCATTTTTCTTTGTATCATTTGTAATTCCTTTCATTCACTATCTACTCCAAGTCTTCGATAATACACATACATATCTCTTGTAATCGTCATAATGACTGTCCATGATATCGTCCCACAGCTTTATAAGGGAGTTTGTTCTGTGATTGTATAAACAAAAAGTCAAATAGTTGTTTGGTGATCCTCTCGATGGACTTGGTCTTTCTTGGAATTTAAATGTTCTTTATACATCACTCATTCTTCAACCTGTATTTATTTATTCTTATTTTCTAACTTTTTCAATTTACTTTTTTGCGACCTGTCCAAATTAAGCATCTGTATTTTTATTTCTCCTTTGTTCAATCGAAAATTTAATAAACTAAAGATGTCATATAATGAATGAATGAACGATGCGAGGTTAACGTCACTTGAAACACGAAACGTGTCAACTGTTACCGGCACATGAGATAGGCAGTCCCGACACGATTGATGATTTAACAGTCGGTCGGTCATCAGATTTGCGGGATGCATCCGGATGTTGACCAAATTCATGTAAGGAAAGATAGACATGAATATCTTGAAAGAAGTGATTGACAACTGATCTCTCACGCAGAATTGCAGAATAACGTGGAATTGCTCACATCATTCGCACAACCATCTATTTCGCACATTTTTTATTATACTGTATTAATTCAATCACCACTGGCGACATTCATTTGAACGCACGAGAATAACATTCGAAAAAGATCAATTTAAGGATTTTCAAAATCTTTGTTCAAAAAGAATTCTTTCTAGGTCACAAAAATGATCATGTGAATGAATGAACAGCTTTAAAGTTAGCATAACGACCTTTTTTTTCAACACAACTTAACCCCTAAAAGGTTATATCATAGAGTAGGAAGAAAGACTTCAAGCCACCAACAGAGGTATCACACCGGAAAGAGCTACGTACTGTATATAATACAGTACGTAATACAGTACATACAGTATGTATACATCATTATTTCGTCGTGTGACACCTATCGCATGGTAGAAAGTGTCTTCCAAAGAGCATATTTTTAAACATTTACACATGTACTGTACGTATCAAAATGAACAGTACAATTTTATTTTTCAAAATATCACATTCTTTCGATGTGGTTAAAAAAAAACAAAAAAAAACCCGGCTTTAATCAATCAATCTTTTTTTCTTCTTTTTGTACCTCGGACCGCATACCTATCCTGTAAAACATGTTATCGATAGAAACCAGGATTCGTAAATCGTGTGATGCAAGTTGGTTGAACAATCATTATAATCTAATCTGGTTTATGGTGGATGTTATTTTAATAATTCCCTTTCGTATCAACCCATTTTTTCTTACCTTTTTTGTAATAATTAAAAAACATATACCAATACCTGTAGCTCTCCTTTTATTGTCATTAATAATATGCACGGATGTCAGCTGATAAATTACGAAGAATGGAAATTAACGTAAGGGAAAAAAAAGGCTATCTTTAAATAAACGGACCTGGAATACATGCGGAATAAAGAAAAAGGTTTATCAAGAAATTTCGTTAATGCATACATGTATGAGTTGCGAATGCAATCAGGTAAATTAAGTTTTCCTTGCAGGTTTCATTTCTCGAATCAGTCATAAATAATTACGGTTAAAGATCATGTGACCTCATGCGTGCCTGAGATTACGTAACCATTCTGTTTTCCTTTTTCGAGAAGATATTTTTGCATTTTTATGCTAGACATTCATAATACTGTATTTTGGGAAATACTGTATGCCGTGGGGACGTCAATTTCGTTTTTTTCGCTTGCGTTGTTCTATAATTATGCTTCACGTAATACTGTTAAAACCCAAGCTTGTTTATATTGTGATACTGTTTGTCTAATTTCGAATTTGGAATCAACGGATAAAAATAATTTTGAAATCATAATAACAAATTTAGGTTAAAGTGGTTGTATAGGTGATACTGTACCTATTGTTAAATTAACTGATTTTATTAACTGGCGTCACTTATACCATCTATCTATATCTTAACCCAAATTTAAATTAGACCGTTCAATTTTTAACAAATAATACGTACTGTATCCATTTTTTTTTAAAAAGAAATCATTTGTTGTATTAAAAAAAGAATTACCACAATTATTATTTGATCTCAGAGGTTTAAAATGGTAAACACAGTAAATCATCAATTAAACATTGATCTTATTTTTCAAGTCACGTAAAATAAAATGAATGTTGCAATGTTGTTGTTAAATTATTACTCCCAAGATCTTACGCTTGTTATATGAATCAACGAGTCTATTATGTTGAATTTTAGATTTGATTAAATGTATAATATACAGTGTTAATTATAAAAATAATCAATTTTACTAATTAATAAATTTTCATAAATAAATTAATAGAAAATTATTTAATCACTAAAATTGTTTATTTTATTATTAAGTAATTTTAATGATATTATTATTTGTTTATTTTTTGAAATTTTTAAAATTTTTATTATTCAAAATTTACTTCTTTACTGAATATTTGTTCTGATCAACCTTTTACAAAAGTTAAAAATATAGATTTACAATATCTTTTTTGATTTTTCAAATCAGAAATCAATATTCCTTCAACAGATACAATTAAAAATGATATTATAAAAATTTCTAAAGAAAAAAAATATAATTAAAAAAAATATTATAAATATACTAATAATATATTTTATAATATATTTTATAAAATATTTTTTTATTTGTTATTTTATTATAAAAAAATATTTCAAGTTATATTTCTTTACTCTTAATGCTTGGACTTCTTAAAATATATTATCTTTTTTTGAAATTATATAGCATTAAATCAATAATGATTGAAATTTATAATAAACCTTAATTGATTTATAAAATTATTAGAATCATATTCTAAAGAAAATATTTATAAAGCTTTTAAATAAAGTTATAAAGAATTAGTAATTTTTATAAAGATAAATTACAATATATTTTTTAAAAATAATTTAATTATATATTAAAAATTTTTTATTAATTCAAATTTTGATAATAATAATCAATAATATATCAAATAACTATAAATTTTATCAAGTTTTAAAATATAAGTATCTTGATGAAAATATTGATTTTGAAAAAAAATTATCATATTAAATATATAAACATATTTTAAATCTTGCAATACAAATTTTTTTAAAATCTTTTAAAGCTAATTTGAAAATAAAAATATTATAATAAATGAAAGTGAAACAGATATATCAACTATTGTTTAAAAGTTTACTTACTAATTTATTTTTATTTAATTATGCAAATTATTTATAAAAATTAAAGCATCACTTCAAAAATAAAAATAAAAATTTAAAACAATATAATATTAATAATCTTTCTAAAAAAAATTAATTATTGATATTAAAATTAAATAAAATTTAATATTTAATATAATAAAATATACATTTAAATATAGAAAAATATAATATAATAAATAATAAATTTAAATTTTTTAATAATAATAATAATTTGATTTATAATTTTTAATCACTTAAAACTATAGCAATATCAAATCAAAATTTATATAATTTAATTCTTAATAAAACAGAATAGAATAAAATATCAAAAATTATAAAATTATTACAAATAATTATAATTAGGGTTCCAATCGATATCGGTAAATATCATTATCGATTTATCGGTTTCGGTATCGGTATTAATTTTTAAGGTTAAATATCGAATCGAAATTTTCAGTAAAATACCAATTAGTTTCAGTACTTTTTAAAAGTACCAATCGGTAAAGTATTGGTTGATAAAATATCGATTAGTTTCAATATTTTCTAAAAATAACAATAAATATTAAGTAAAGATTTTCAATAGAAGTTACATCAAATTATTAATATATATATATATATTTTTTAATTTTTAACAAGTATTAAATATGAGACTTATGTTATTGATATATTATATAATAAATATAAAATAATATTGAA